CAAGTACTGGAAACAATAAAACACTATGAAAAATCTGGGAAACCAGGCCTGGTATTCATAGCTGACTTTGAAAAGGCTTTTGATAAAGTACGACTGGAATTTATATACAGTTGAAGTCGGAAGTTTACATACACATAGGTTGGAGTCATTCAAACTCATTTTTCAACCACCACTCCACAAATTTCTTGTTAACAAACTATAGTTTTGGCAAGTCGGTTAGGACATCTACTTTGTGCATGACACAAGTAATTTTTCAAACAATTATTTACAGACAGATTATTTCACTGTATCACAATAAATTGACTGTGCCTTTAAACAGCTTGGAAAATTCCAGAAAATGATGTCATGGCTTTAGAAGCTTCTGATAGGCTAATTGACATCATTTGAGTCAATTGGAGGTGTACCTGTGGATGTATTTCAAGGCATACCTTCAAACTCAGTGCCTCTTTGCTTGACATCATGGGAAAATCAAAAGAAATCAGCCAAGACCTCAGAAAAAAATTGTAGACCTCCACAAGTCTGGTTCATCCTTGGGAGCAATTTCAAAATGCCTGAAGGTACCATGTTCATCTGTACAAACAATAGTACGCAAGTATAAACACCATGGGACCACGCAGCCGTCATACCGCTCAGGAAGGAGACGCGTTCTGTCTCCTAGAGATGAACGTACTTTGGTGCGAAAATTGCAAATCAATCCCAGAACAACAGCAAAGGACCTTGTGAAGATGCTGGAGGAAACAGGTACAAAAGTATCTATATCCACAGTAAAATGAGTCCTATATCGACATAACCTGAAAGGCCTCTCAGCAAGGAAGAAGCCACTGCTCCAAAACCGCCATAAAAAAGCCAGACTACGGTTTGCAACTGCACATGGGGACAAAGATCGTACTTTTTTGAGAAATGTCCTCTGGTCTGATGAAACAAAAATAGAACTGTTTGGCCATAATGACCATCGTTATGTTTGGAGGAAAAAGGGGGTACTTGCAAGCCGAAGAACACCATCCCAACCGTGAAGCACGGGGTGGCAACATCATGCTGTGGGGGTGCTTTGCTGCAGGAGGGACTGGTGCACTTCACAAAATAGATGGCATCATGAGGAAGGAAAATGATGTGGATATATTGAAGCAACATCTCAAGACATCAGTCAGGAAGTTAAAGCTTGGTCACAAATGGGTCTTCCAAATGGACAATGACCCCAAGCATACTTCCAAAGTTGTGGCAAAATGGCTTAAGGACAACAAAGTCAAGGTATTGGAGTGGCCATCACAAAGCCCTGACCTCAATCCTATAGAAAAAGCGTGTGCGAGCAAGGAGGCCTACAAACCTGACTCAGTTCCACCAGCTCTGTCAGGAGGAATGGGCCAAAATTCACCCAACTTATTGTGGGAAGCTTGTGGAAGGCTACCCGAAACGTTTGACCCAAGTTAAACAATTTAAAGGCAATGCTACCAAATCCTAATTGAGTGTATGTAAACTTCTGACCCACTGGGAATGTGATGAAATAAATAAAAGCTTAAATAAATCATTCTCTCTACTATTATTCTGACATTTCACATTCTTAAAATAAAGTGGTGATCGTAACTGACCTTAGACAGGGAATTTTTACTAGGATTAAAATGTAAGGAATTGTGAAAAACTGAGTTGAAATGTATTTGGCTAAAGTGTATGTAAACTTCCGACTTCAACTGTATAAATGCCTGGAATAATTCAATTTTGGAGAATCTCTTATAGAATGTGTTAAAGTTATGTATAGTAACCCTAGGTGTACAATAGTAAATAATGGTTACTTCTCAGAAAGTATTAGAGTAAAACAACGTTGTCCACTATCGGCATATCTATTTATTATGGCCATTGAAATGTTAGCTATTAAAATCAGATCCAACAATAATATCAAGGAACTAGAAATCCAGGGCTTAAAAACAAAGATGTCGTCATTGTATGCTGATGATTCATGTTCTTTTAAATCCACAATTTAGATCCCTCCATAGCCTCATAGAGGATCTAGATAATTGTTCTAACCTCTCTGGATTAAAACCAAATTATGATAAGTGTACTTACTATATTACGTAATGGATCACAAAAAAATTCAACTTTTACATTGTGTAGTTTACCAATAAAATGGTCTGACAGTGAAGTGGACATACTCGGTATTCATATCCTGATAAAATGTATTGTAGCGAGATCATTTCTTTCTAATAGAAAGTTAGCAAAAATAGATAAGATCTTGCTACCATGGAAAGGAAAATACCTGTCTATTTGTGGAAAAATCACCCTGATTAACTCTTTAGTCATATCCCAGTTTCCTATATGCTTATGGCCCTGCCTACACCTAATGACTTGTTGTTTTTTTTTATTATATGAGCGAAAAGTATTCCATTTTATTTGGAATGGCAAGCCAGACAAAATTAAATGGGCCTATTTATATCATGAATATGAATTCGGAGGGTAGATATGATTAAATATGACAGCATTAGATCTCTCACTAATGGCTTCAGTCATATAAACGCTATACTTAAGATTAGTAAGAAATGGCTCAACCCATGTTCAAGAATGGCCTTTTTCCCTTTATTCAGATTACAACCTCTCAAAAAAAAAATAGTTGGGAAGAGATATTCGATGTACCGATTCCATGGCACATTGTTTATGGACTGATACACAAAACGACACCGGATTCAAAACACAGAGTTTTTCAATTGAACTTATACAAAGTTCTTGCAACCAATAGAATGTGAAAAAAAATATATAGTATATATATGGCATACAACCATCCCAGCTCTGCAGATTTTGCTGAGAAGAGACAATCATTAGATAATTTGTTTTGGTACTGTCCATATGTAGCTTGTTTTTGGTCGCAGGTTCAGGAATGGCTGAAGAATTGCAACATTTACCTGGAGTTAACTCTGCAAATAGCACTGCTGGGTGATCTGAAAAGTCAAAGTCAATCGATCAATAATATAATAATACTCTTAGCAAAGATGTTTCTTTAATTTGCAATCTGTAGAAACTATGAAATAGAAAGGTTCAGAAATTATGTGAAACAGCACAGTTGAAAAATATATGGCAAATAGATGGTCTTCAGAGATAGATGGGAGGGGTTTAGGGTGGCTGAAGGATGGGACTAAATACAAACAAAAGATAACTAATGTAAAACATACTGTGTCCGTAAAATGTACACTACCGTCAAAAGTTTTATAACACCTACTCATTTAAGGGGTTTTCCTTATTTTTACTATTTTCTATATTGTAGAATAATGGTGAAGACATCAAACTATGAAATAACACATATGGAATCATGAAGTAACCAAAAAAAAGTGTTAAACAAATCAAAACATTTTATATTTTAGAGTCTTCAAATAGCCACCCTTTGCCTTGATAACAGCTTTGCACACTCTTGGCATTATCTTAACCAGCTTCATGAGGTAATCACCTGGAATGCATTTCAAATTAACAGGTGCCTTCTTAAAAGTTAATTCGTGGAATTTCTTTCCTTCTTCATGTGTTTGAGCCAATCAATTGTGTTGTGACAAGGTAGGGGGGTATACAGAAGATAGCCCTATTTGGTAAAAGACCAAGTCCATATTATGGCAAGAACAGCTCAAATAAGCAAAGAGAAACGACAGTCCATCATTATTTTGAGACATGAAGGTCAGTCAATCCGGAAAATGTCAAGAACTTTGAACGTTTCTTCAAGTGCAGTTGCAAAAACAATCAACCGCTATGAAACTGGCTTTCATGAGGACCGCCACAGGAATGGAAGACCCAGAGTTACCTCTGCTGCAGAGGATAAGTTCATTAGAGTTACCAGCCTCAGAGATTGCAGCCCAAATAAATGCTTCAGAGTTCAAGTAACAGACATCTCAACATCAACTGTTCAGAGAAGACTGTGTGAATCAGGCATTCATGGTCGAATTGCTGCAAAGAAACCACTACTAAAGGACACCAATTAGAAGAAGAGACTTGCTTGGGCCAAGTAACACGAGCAAAGGACATTAGACCGGTGGAAATTTGTCCTTTGGTCTGGAGTCCAAATTGGAGATTTTTGGTTCCAACCGCCGTGTCTTTGTGAGACACGGTGTGGGTAAACGGATAATCTCTGCATGTGTATTTCCCACCGTAAAGCATGGAGGTGGTGGTGTTATGGTGTGGGGGTGCATTGCTGGTGACACTGTCTGTGATTTTAGAATTCAAGTCACACTTAACCAGCATGGCTACCACAGCATTCTGCAGCGATACGCCATCCCATCTGGTTTGCGCTTAGTGGGACTATGATTTGTTTTTCAACAGGACAATGACCCAACACACCTCCAGGCTGTGTAAGAGCTATTTGACCAAGAAGGAGAGTGATGGTGCTTCATCAGATGACCTGGCCTCCACAATCCCCCGACCTCAACCCAATTGAGATGGTTTGGGATGAGTCGGACCGCAGAGTGAAGGAAAAGCAGCCAACAAGTGCTCAGCATTTGTGGGAACTCCTTCAAGACTGTTGGAAAAGCATTCCAAGTGACGCTGGTTCAGAGAATGCCAAGAGTGTGCAAAGCTGTCATCAAGGCAAAGGGTGGCTATTTGAAGAATCTCAAATATATTTTGATTTGTTTAACACTTTTTTGGTTACTACATGATTCCATATGTGTTATTTCATAGTTTGTCTTCACTATTATTCTACAATGTAAAAAAAATAGCAAAAATAAAGTAAAAACCCTTGAATGAGTAGGTGTGTCCAAACATTTGACTGGTAGTGTATATAATGTTATAGACCCTTTTTATGTTTACAGCAGCCCTCTCCACAAATATTAGTCTACAGAAAAATGTAAAACAAAAAATTGTTTTTTCTAGCTCAGTTCCGTTAAGTCATTAAACTACAGCCCCCTACCGTCCATCACTCCCACACTGAAACATCACCGGTGGGCTCAAAATCAGAAACGTGGAAGGTTTGTGTGCTTTTCCATCAAAATGTTTTGTCCTAAGAAAGTCCCAAATCCTTGATACAAAAGATAGATTCACTAGTCTGCATCCTCAAATTCAGCATCATGGAGAAGTTGGTGAAATTTCAGCTTAATTGCACACTTTTTCTTGTAAGGTAAGCGCTTGAGGTGAGGGAGTAGGCTCATGAAAAACATCTCATCCTCATTGTCTCCCTGTCCAGGTGTTTGCCAGGAATCTTTCCATGTCATCTCATGAAAGTTGTTGTCCAAAGGTGGTGACATCTTGGTATCAACCACACTTCCATCAAGATCAATCAGGACATCAGAGTTGCTAGTTGTGTCATCTTTTCCATCATCAAACTCCTCTGTGCTATTGTTGCCGCCAGTGCCTCTACCTCGCTGTATGTATGGGATCAGAAATGCCATTAACTCACTATATCGCCATTTTTTGAGGGCCTTCCCTTTGGCACCACGAATCCCATCTGCTTTCACTTTCCTTGTAAACACATCCCTCAGATTTCTCCATTTCTTTCGGGCATCTTCCTCTGGAACAAAAAAGAAGGACATGCAAGTTACTATCAGACAGTAATCTCTGTTGATCTGTTTTTAACTTTTCTTTATGGCTATACCAGTGTAATAAATGGTTTATGGCATGGTCATTTGGATGAGCTGTGTTCACACACATTTAGTGTTCCAAATTGGTTACCCCCTAGTCTACATATTTGGTTAGTTGAAACACAACAGAGTCTATGGTTTAGCTCAATAGCAACACGCCACTTCGGCCTAGTTTGGTATAGGCTAAAACTGAGGGATGGTGTAGGTATAGCGCTCAAACTCTAGGCGGCATTCTGCTTTCTCCCTACAGTTCTTAGCCATTAGCTAAGAACTACAATCCCGACGCTGTGATTTAACGTTTAGAAATGTTAATAATCATCGCTTACGATACAGTTTTTAAAACATATAGCCCTCATCTTTCATTATTTTTCATCCTTCAAATAAAAAAAAGATACAGTTACGCAGTTTTGCACAGATCCATAAAGCTACGGGTGCCTCCATCCGACGAAGCTACACTTCTGCTACTCTTCCCAAATTACGCTTACACACTGGTGTTCGGAACATAGCTAATTAGCACAGATGGTCGCTTCGTCGTCAATCTGTTTTCCGTAAACAAGTGCTGTAACATGGAGATATGGCCGTGTGGGAACCAGGTGTGTTTTCTTTGTAAATTACTTCCCGCTGATATGAAATATAAGGTCCTTATGCTTACGATACAGTACCACAAGCGACACGTGTTAATGTTCAGATAAAGTGTCTGGGATCTTAACAAAACTCCCCCCTACAGAAGACGCCTTCGTCCAATGACTTGTGTGTAATGTCATGGAACGGAGTCATGATCAAGCGCAAGTGTAGGTATAACCACTTTCAAAATCATAGACAGAGCTATGGATGCGTTAAGGTCCCCTGTCTCTGAAGTGTACAGTTATATGTCAGTGGATAAAAAGGTGTGCACTACCATAGCTAAGAATTTAACTCAAATGTTGACATTATATTGAACTCCACTGTTGACATTATATTGTCAACATTGGAGTTAAATTCAAATCAACTTATTTGTCACATGCGTTGAATACAACAGGTGTAGACTTCACCGTGTAATGCTTACATACTAGCCCTTTCCCAACAATGCAGTTAAAAAGTACACATTTTATAAAGTAGCAATATGAAAGGAGTACTGGTACCAAGTCAATGTGCAATGGTACAAGGTAGTTGAGGTAATATGTACATGTAGGTAGGGGTAAAGTGACTAGGCAATCAGGATAGATAATAAACAGAGTAGCAGCAGCATACACTGAGTCTACAAAACATTAAGGCCACCTGCTCTATTCATGACATAGACTGACCAGGTGAATCCAATGATCCCTTATTGATGTCACTTGTTAGAGGAGACAGGTTAAATAATAATTGTATAGCCTTAAGACATGGATTGTGCATGTGTCACATTCTGAGGGTGAATGGGCAAGACAAAAGATGTAAGTGCCTTTGAACTGGGTATGGTAGTAGGTGCCAGGTGCACCGGTTTGTGCCAAGAATTGCAACACTGCTGGGTTTTTCACGCTCAGTTTCCTGTGTGTATCAAGAATGGTCCACCCAAATGACATCCAGCCAACTTGACACAACTGTGGGAATCATTGGAGTCAATATGGGCAGCATCCCTGTGGAACACTTTAGACACCTTGTGGTTTAATGCCTGACAAATTGAGGCTGTTCTGTTATAATAATATGCCATTTAGCAGACGCTTTTATCCAAAGCGACTTAAAGTCATGCGTGCATACATTTTTTGTGTATGGGTGGTCCCGGTGATCGAACCCACTACTTTGGCGTTACAAGCGCCGTGCTCTACCAGCTGAGCTACAGAGGACCACTGTTCTGCTGACACATAATTCAAACGTTGCACAGCTGATAGCCTATAGTTATCGAATGATAGAAATCATGAGCTATTTACATGTGAAAATGTCACGATGGAATGCATTTTTGCTCCATTCATTGTTTACATTTTTGTTGGTGGGTGCAAATCATGAGTTCCCACTCAACTGGCTCAGCTAGTAAGCTAGTTAATGAGCTAGCTAGCTAACAAGTAAACAACCCGTGACACACTGCATGTTAACTAGCTAACGTTAGTTAAGTAGCTACTCTTCGCGGTATATTGACATAGGCACGCAGCATACTAATTAATAAACAATGTAACTAAACACATTCCATTAACAGAACAATAAAGAGGAACAGAGTTCCAAACAATTGCAACAACTAACTAACCAGGCAAAACAGTAGCTAGCTAACGTATACCTGGAGGTTACCCTCGCTAGCTAACCCGGTCTGAATGTTGTTTGCAATCTAGTCAATAGTCAGATATGTCAAACTTAATAACTAACGTTAGCGATGGCATTGACAAGTTAAACATTTTAGACTCGTCCTAGCTCTAGCTATCTAACGCTAGTTAGCCAAAATGTACGCTAACGTTGTTAGCTAATCAGAGCATACCTTTCAGTCCCAATTGTTTACCCACTGCCTTCCATGCGTCCAATTTCTTTACCGGGTCTCTATATGAAGTCAAAGTTGAGTTATATAATTCTGGGTAGTCAGAAACCGCTGATATGAGCCTTTCTGCAGCCATCCGAAGACTAGTTACCTTGCTAGCCAGGTAGCCAGACCGCTGTGTGAGAATCAAAGACGTTCTATTATATTGACAAGATTGTCGAGTGACCTCTCTAACAACGGAAATACGTCTCCTCAAATATGGGAGGGGCGAGAGCAGGTGGGGACATTCTAGCCAATGAGAGGACAGATATGAGTGTGAACAACAGGCACAACTCCGACAGAAAGTCGATTTATTTAAAGTTGTCGAACGTGCGTCCACTTATATCAGTGCATTCTTAACAACCTAACCATTACGAACTTCTATTGATCAAATAAGCCTCACATAGCAAATTAGCAAGTACATTTTTTGTTGTCCAAATTCGACACTCTCTCTGAAACCACATTTCCATCCACAGTTTTTTTGTGAGTGAAGTCATACCTTATAAAAAATATCAATCATGAAAGCTGTGATCGAAACAGGAAATGTCGGTACAATTTTATATGGAGACAGATACTTTTTTCATTGGACATGGTGGAATCTTTTTGTGTCTAAAATTAATTATGCGCGAATTGGCTGTGGAAACGCCTTAATGCGCAAATATTGATATAATAACCATAATCTGGAAGTACATTTGGAGTCAGGCGATGGAATTATCTATAAACAAAGGGACTATGGAATTATCCTATCCATAAACACAGGGACCTGTGTGGTCCTCCCACTATGACTCGGGAAAGCACGCAGTTTATTAGGCTACAGATTAAATAAATTAGGATGAATTTCACAGGGTGGTGAAAGTGCAAGGTGATGATGAGCTTGATGCTCCTTTCCAATAAATATTGAGGGTCTTATTCTGGTGACATGATGATCAATGCTTGACTGCCATTTGAAAAATTAAAAAAGTATCGCTCTTTTGTCCATAAGAATCTCATCATGTATTGGCTATACCCGCACTGTAGATGTTGGCTAGAGCGCATGCGCCAATACCAGAGCGGGCACATTCACTATATAACACAACATTTTTAGTGACAAAACCATCAGTAGAGTTGAAAATGCGATGGAAACCCATTTAACTTGTTTTTCTATTCGGCACATGGGAATTTAACCGCAAAATACATTTTCATGTGCACTACGTCATCACGCACAGACTAATCCGCAACAAGTCAATTTGATGGAAACACATCTCTGGTGGGAAAATGCGTATATTTTATTTATGCATATTTTAGAATATTCCCATGAAAATCTTTCGCGATTGGAAGAAAACCTAGCTATTGACCTCCATACAAAATTCCTCTGTTCGTGGTTTTATTTTCGTGGACAGATTTTTTAGGCAGAGTGAAGCCTCTTGTTTCGCTTCATCCTATCTGGTGTGAATCCAGAAAGATTGGGCAGGTTGGTTTTATATGGCCAGTTACCCCGGGTGGGTAGAGACTTCAAATAAGGACCAATGGACAGTGGTGGAAAAAGTACCCAATCGTCATACTTGAGTAAAAGTAAAGATACCTTAATAGAAAATGACTCAAGTAAAAGTTAAAAGTCACCCAGTAAATTCTACTTGAGTAAAAGTCTAAAAGTAAATGTAATTAAAAATATATACTTAAGTATCAAAAGTAAAAGTATAAATAATTTAAAACTGCTTATATTAAGCAAACCAGACAGCTTTTTTATTTTTATTTACAGATAGCCAGTGACACACTCCAACAATCAGACATCATTTACAAACAAAGCATGTGTGCTATGAGTCCACCAGATCAGAGGCATAGTATTGACCAGGGACGTTCTCTTGATAAGTACGTGAATTGGACCATTTTCCTGTCCTGCTAAGCTTTCAAAATATAAATAGTACTTTTGGGTGTCAGGGAAAATGTATGGAGTAAAAAGTACATTATTTTCTTTAGGAATGTAGTAAAGTAAAAGTAAAAGTTTTCAAAATTATAAATAGTAAAGTACAGATACCCCACAAAACTACTTAAGTAGTACTTTAAAGTATTTTTACTTAAGTACTTTACACCACTGCCAATGGAATGGTCTAAAATGTACAAACTCCGCCTAGCCTATCCGGGGCACTGGGCCAGATATTTTTCTATCTCTGACCTGACCTGGCCATGCAGATTCAGATTCAGAGTGTTTAATAGTCACAGGGTTGCAGGTGTGATTACAGGGTACAGTAAAAATCTTAGGCTTCAAGCTCCAACATGCAGGACTAAGTGAAATAAATAATAAAAATGGTAATAAAAAACAACAGTAGATGACCATAAGGGGAGCAGCATGACCATTGAGGGGGTGTGGGGACCAAGTGAAATAAAAAACAAAAATGTAATAAAAAAGTAATAATAAACATATTAACAACTGCAACAGTGATGAATGTCGTTTCGGTGGGGGCAGAGTAAAATTCTGTTGGGGGTGGGGTGGATGTCCCTTATTGAAGCGGGGAGAACAGGGCATGGCTTGGGGGGCTGGGGTCCCTGATGATCTTCTTGGCCTTCCTGCGACACCTGGTGTTGTAGGTGTCCTGTTGGCAGGCTGTGTGCACCCAATGGTGCGTTCGGCTGCACGTATCACCCTCTGAAGAGCCTTGCGGTCCGCGGCGGTGGAGTTGCCGTAGGCTGTGATGCAGTCCGACAGTATGTTCTCGATGGTGCTCCTGTAGAACACTGTGAGGGCCCTCTGGGACAGGCCAAATTTCTTGAGCATCCTGAGGTTGAAGAGTCGCTGTCGTGCCTTCTTTACTACGGTGTCCGTAGTGAACATCCTGGTCACTGGATTTTTTGAATCCTTCAGAATAAGTCCTGTCATGTATATTTAGCAATATGAATAATTAAGGCTGATAGAAAATATTATTATATCCAAATTCACAGAGTTTACACACCCAGGTTTGTCGCTGCTATTATTTTGGCCCTTACTTTGTGGAAAATCTGTCATATTCTGATATGTCATTGAACATACGTATTGCACTGTACACACTTTCCTGTACATTTTGTCATAGTAAAAGTGCGGTCCAAATTGTGTTTGACCAAATACAATGCTATTTCTCTGTAAACAAATTAACAACAGACTTTCAACATGCTTATAGGGAAGGGCATTCAACATGTACTGCACTGACACAAATTACTGATGATTGGTTGAAAGAAATTGATAATAATAAGATTGTGGGAGCTGTACTGTTAGATTTCAGTGCAGCCTTTGATATTATTGACCATAACCTGTTGTTGAAAAAACTTATGTGTTATGGCTTTTCAACCTCTGCCATATCGTGGATTCAGAGCTATCTATCTAATAGAACTCAAATTGTTTTCTTTAATGGAAGCTTCTCTAATGTCAAACATGTAAAGTGTGGTGTACCACAGGGCAGCTCTCTAGGCCCTCTACTCTTTTCTATTTTTACCAATGACCTGCCACTGGCATTAAACAAAGCATGTGTGTCCATGTATGCTGATGATTAAACCATATATGCATCAGCAACCACAGCTAATGAAGTCACTGAAACCCTTAACAAAGGAGTTGCAGTCTGTTTTGGAATGGGTGGCCACTAATAAACTGATCCTGAACATCTCTAAAACTAAGAGCATTGTGTTTGGTACAAATCATTCCCTAAGTTCTAGACCTCAGCTGAATCTGGTAATGAATGGTGTGGCTGTTAAACAAGGTGAGGAGACTAAATTACTTGGTGTTACCATATCCGGTGGGCGATATTATTATATTTGAGTAACGATTTTTGGCCTAAAATGACTTATTCCATGATATACAAAACCTCCAATAGATGGCACTGTAGCCTGGCAGCGCGCTCTGTATTTGGGCCCACAGTCAGATTCAGAATGTGCTCAGTCATCATAGCCACTTCATTGCACTGGATGAGAGTACTGACATCAGAGACACCGCTCAACTTTACATTTTTGTCAGAGGAATAAATGAGAACTTTGAAATAACAGAGGAACTTCTTGCGATGGAATCAATGATGGGAACAACCAGGCGCTCTGACTTATATGACAGGGTGTCTGCCTGCTTAGAAAAAATTAATCTACTGTGGAGCAAACTGACAAATGTCACAACCAACCGGTAAAAACATTGGCCTACTAAAAAGATTACAAGACAAAGTAAAAGAAGAAAGCCCTATTTCTTCACTGTATTATTCATCAGGAAGCCCTGTGTAAAAGTGTGTTAAAGCTGGAAAATGTTGTCAAAGTGGTTGTAAAACTTGTCAACTTTATACGGGCAAGGGGGCTTAACCATCGTCAGTTCATTCAGCTGCTCAATGACACAGAGGCAGAGCACCAGGACTTGTTGTACCATTCAAATGTGCGCTGGCTAAGCCTGGGGAAAGTATTTCGCCATGTGTGGGAACTGAGAGGGGAGATAGGTATGTTCCTTGATACGGTTGGTAAAGCTGACGACTTCTCAGAGTTGAAAGACACAGAATGTCTGGGCGACTTTGCTTTCGGTGTGGCCATATTGGGGCATCTGAACGATCTAAATGTGAAACTGCAGGGAAATTGTGTTTTGTGCATGAACTGTATTCCAACATGAAAGCATTCAAGGCCAAACTTACGTTGTTCTCCAGACAAATGAGCAGCCCACATCGCAGTGCCGCACTGAGACATACAGTAGCATTTTGATCGACCTGCATGCTGAGTTTTCCCGCCGCTTCTTAGACTTCACCAAAATTGAGACTGAGCTGGAGCTTGTATCATGCCCCCTGTCTTTCGACAGTGAGGAAGCACCACCAGACACACAATTGTAGCTCATCGACATCCAATGTGACAGTGCTTTGAAGGAGAAGTACAAAACAGCAACAATAGACCAGTTCTATGGCTCACTGAATGAAACCGTTTCCAAACATTAAAAAGAACGCCCAAAGGATGCTTGTTTTATTTGGGTTCACATACTGAATGTGTGTGAACAAACTTTCTCAGTCATGAATTACAACAAATTCCATCACAGGTCAAATTTAACAAATTACCACTTGTCAGCTGTTCTGAGAATCTCTATATCAAAGATAACACCAGACTTTGATGCCCTTGCCAAGAGAGGTGACCAGACCCATTGTTCACATTAAGACTCGAATAAGCGTGACTGGGGTAGGCAAGGATTATGCTTTTTAATATGCTTTTAAAAACAGACTATTCCAAATGAAACGGATGCTCTTACCATATGTTTCACTCAAATTTTAGAATAATCTTTACATTTTGCATGTCTCCAGTCATATAATATATATATATATATTTGTAAGTTTACATATTGTGACTGTAAGTTTGATTGTACTTTACAAGGGTAGAGCTGCAGGATCCGTGTGTGTGTTTGACTGTGTCTGTGATGTTATAATCAATTTTGTGAAGATTTTGTGAAAAATGTGTTCACAAGAAACAAGGGTAGAGATGGTACATGGGTAGAATTGTTCTGCAAGCATATGTACACCTACAGTACACTAGTAGTTGCATAAAAGCGTCTGCTAAATGGCATATTATATTATTATTATTATTATTATTATTATGTCAATGTGAAAATGAATAAAGGCTTCACATGTTTTGTCACGCATATAGTATGTGGCCCTTCACTTGGTTTCAAAAACTAAATGTGGCCCTTGAGCCAAAAGGTTTGCCCACCCCTGGTCTAGACTGTAGAGCCTACCCTTGCTTACCGGGCGTCACTAGTTACCACATCCACAAAGGCAAAATTGGCTATATCGTAAAAATTCATGAAAACAAAATTGTGCTTTTTGGTCTTCATTTAAGGTTAGGGTTGGGGATGAGGCATAAGGTTATCAATGTAGTTAAGGTTAGGGTTAAGGTTAGGTTTAAAATCTGATTTTAAGAAGAGAAATTGTAGAAATAGGCAGGATTTATGACTTTGTGGCTGTGGTAACTAGTGACCACCAAGCTTACCCCTTCAAAGTAGGAGGATACATATGCAAATAAAAGATGACGGGGTCATTGGTCAGAATAATCAGATCAGATTGTGATGTCATGCTATGGGCCAAAAACTCCATCCCACCTGAGCAAAAAGGTCTAACACTGAAAGTGCATTATCACAATTTTCACAATTTAAGAGTGTAATTTCGACCCCATAGTGTGGAAATATCATTTTAAAAAACAGTTTTTTGACTACACTGCCCCTTTAAAGACAAGGAGACCTACTGATCTTCCAGGCGCTTCTCCATCACTCCACTGCATAGCGTAAGGAGGAGAGCTCAGGCATAGGGTTGTAGAGGGGCTGCTGCCTGGGCATCTCTGTGTCCTGCCCGCTGTCAGGAGGTCTCAGACCCACCCGTTTGGCATAGTCAGCTGTGGTAGGCAGATCCACCCACCACTGAGCACCTTTCTCCACCCTTCGCATTCCTACCCAAAGTAATTTGAATGAGTAAAACCTTGCCATTGACATGAAGTTTATTTTTTGGGTTCAAGTCTTGAGATTTGCTTGTGTCCTTACATTGTGTCTCACTGTGCATGGTTGCTGCTGAAGCTTTCGTCCACTTATCTGGCCCACAAGGGAAAAACTCTTGAAGGTTCTTCTGGTACTCTGAATTGTTGTCCATGATGATGCGATCGTGGTTCCGTGGATCACGCTGATGTACCTGTTTGGCTATTACTGCAACATGTAAATTCAAGGCAATATGATGTAGATCAATAACCAATATAGAAAATAATTTGTTTCAGAAGAATATGTATTGAGAGAAAGGATGTACCAGAAAATAGCTTCTGTACCAGAAAATAGCTCCTGTTCAAAGTTGTTCTCTGTGTGCAAGGCATTGCCTCCAGTACAGGGGGTTGAGGCTATCCTGAAGATGAGGAGGTTGAGGGGTTTCAATGTGCTTGACTGCTACAGTGTTGGCAGTCTGGTTCAAACCCCCAGGTTCATCAGAACATGCAGGGGAGTAGCCCTGCGCCCTGCAGCAGGGATGTCAAGTGAAAATAGAGATCAGTGATATAAAATCATGAATAAACAATTCTGGTGATCAACATAATAAAAAACTCACATAAAACAACAACCTTCGTGCATTGTAGGCTAAACTGTATTTGTTTGAGGCCTAAAACTGACTGGAGATTCAACATGAAATATTAGGGTAGGTTTCGTCTCCTTGCCTATAGTATACTGGAAGAGGTGTCTCAGCCATGCTGCTCTGAAGGGCCCTCTGCTTCTCAGTCTGCTTGTGAAGATCTTGGTAGCTGCAGAAATCCTCCTCACACATGGGCTCGTCATTGACTAGATCTGTGGCGCTGGCCGAACCATACCGGCTCCTCAGCAGAGACCGCAGCTGTGACAAATTCTGGGACTGGTTTGGAATCTGTTGACTCACGATCCACTGAGCTGTAGTAGCGGTGTGTGGGGTAAAATCAATGGGGAAGCCAAGATCCCTAAAAGCCATATTCCAACCTGTTGTGATAATTGCGTTGTTTGCTATTAAATCATATGCCGTTACCGTGATATATAGGCCTAAAGGCCGTGAAAATAAGAAGACAGTGGCAGAATAAATTCAACCACACCTTTGTTTTATCACAAAACCGGATAGCAACCTCTGTCCGGTGTAGTCCACAACTCATATTGCATGTAACAGACAGTTACATGACCTACAGCATGGTTAAGCAAGTTCATGTTTCTGACATTTTCGGACCACTAAACAACTATTGATTTAGAACCACAGAGAGTTACCGCAAGTCGCAAAGAAAATATGAGCTGCCTCCACTATTCCAGCACCATTTCAACTTCAACATTTAACATCTAATACAGTGACAACTGAAAGATAGCAAAAATAATTGAATCCAATCAACATAAGCTAAATATGATGTGGCTGTCCATGGTTCTGATTTCTGTTTGCCCGCGAGCGCGTTCGTGCAAGTATAAAAACATGTTGATTCATCCTACTTAGAGAAACGCCAATGCCATCCTCTTCTCTTTCATGTTGGCTAAAATGCTTGCTTGCTAGCCTAACTTCCATTCATGGGCAACGTTAGCTAGTTAACATTAGCCTTCTGCATCTAGCTACTGTACATATTGAACTTACATCCTCTCAGGCCAGGGGCACAACAATGTATCAATTAATGGTTGGATCAGAATCGCCGTTATAATCAAATCAAATCAAATTGTATTGGTCACAGACACATTTTTTGCAGACGTTACTGCAGGTGTAGCGAAATGCTTGTGTTCCTAGCTCCAACAGTGCAGTAGTATCTAACAATACACACAAATCTAAAAGTAAAATAATGGAATTAAGAAATAAATAAATATTAGGACGAGCAATGTCGGAGTGGCATTGACTAAAATACAGTAGTATAGAATACAGTATATACATATGAGATGAGATCATTGGCCAGTACGGAGAATTAAGTAAAACCACAAGTCCAAATCCCTATCTCCATCCATGGCTAATTTAGGAAAGGGACAATTTTAGCTAGCTAGCCACCGGAGGACAACAACACAACGAGATGCAACAATTCAAGTTGTTTCTAATAATGACGTATGCTCTCAAAGCGATTTGATAGGAGCGATGCCAAATTCAAGCTGGCTTCCCGTGACACTTTTTTTTCCCTTTCGCCAGGACCATTCACAGTTGAGCTCGCTCAGTTTAGAGCAACACTGATTGGCTAATTCTTTATATATTTTTTTGTCAAGGGAGGCCAAATGGTCGCTGGCTTCCCTTGCATTCAATGCTACGGGCGGCAACAATGTCATACTCCTTTGGACCAGACAGTATCAGATAGATGGCCTACACGTAGAGAGACAGAGGGGTGTGTTTCTCTCACTCGAATGCTTTCTCCTGTGAGATACATTCAGCCCCTTGCGAATTGAAGGGAAATTATTAAACAAAATATTTTCTGTATTTATTTTTGGTAATTTTTGTGGGGAAGCCTGGAATACATGCCACTGCCTCCCTGCCTCCTGTAGATGCTTCCTTGAGACAGTTGTAAACATTAGAAACTCCTCATAGTCCTGTCCTTTTAAAGGAATCCAAGAGCCCCCCCTGATGACTAGGGAGGGTAAAGGCGTCTTTGGCGGTCAATGGAGCAGGTTGGGATTTTTGTAATGCAGGGAGCATAGAGGGAGGGTCTCAGAAGCCTCTGCTCTCAGCAGCATCCTGGGGTGAAGGATTAAGGGGGATACATTTCAATGATTTGTTCCCTGTGCTCTTCAGCTTGGTACTTGGTGCCATAGGTCCAGAGGCATTGAAAAGCCAGTGGCAGTCAGCTTGACCATAAGGTATACTGTCTGACCCCATCTCCCATTATAAAATCTTTGGAGAAGGTGAGACTGCAGGTGATATTGTTGAGGAGTTGTCTGTAGAGCGGCTGGCCTCTCAGATTTTGTAGGCGGCCCACCTTTGATTTGGTTTTACCAAATCCATGTTGATTAGTGTATCCTCTTGGGGAACAAACAATTCATATTTTTTTGTAAACAAAAATACATTGGGTGCAATTCAAAGCCTCACATTGCTGGGTTCATGTTGCTGAGAAGTGCATAAAATACCATCAAACGGATGATAGGGCTACTGTATCTTCAGACTGCTAACCAGCCCACTTAAATTATTCGTATAAGATACATGTTACAAACCATAACATTTCAAACCGTAAAAAGCCTAAACACTTACCTGCATATTTTGTTGTGTCTGTCCGTACCCATTGTTGTAGTTGACATAATTCAGGAAGAACCAACACCTCCAATGCTGCTAACATTTATCAGCTGCTGACCACATGTCATGGCAACAAAGCAGCTTACAGTTTGCCAGGGAGTTTTTGTTGCTGTCATTGTGAATGGAGCAACAATGTAACAACAACCAACTTACACAAAACCCAGAAGATTTTGTTAGATGCCTTTTTATTAACAGTCACTAATTTAAAACAGCACAATTTCTTTATTGCTCTGTTTGCTTTTTACATTTTGTCAATAACTTTTTTCAATCTCCACTTCATCCAATATTTTGCAATATAATGATTATTCATAAACCTATCATCTCATCATGATTTCTATTAAACACATGCACCCTTGAGACTAATTATAGGCTTAATTACATGTAGGCCTATTTAGCTCTTGAACATAGCTTGCATTTTGTTGTAACCAAATATAACTGTATTATTCAAACTCTCACATGAATAGATCTACGTGTGACTTTAATAGTGTTGTTGTTTTTTAGCATTTGAAAGGGTAATATCTGGAATATTCACAGAAGACCAAACATTTGATTTAGCACAGGGAGACAAAACATAATTAAATGAATGGTGATTCAAGTGTCAGAATTCAAGTATAAATAAAAGCAATGCAACATCCACAGGTCTTAACAGACAATTATCTTTGTGATTGGGTGAATAAGAATATTAGAAACTCTGTCAGCGACTTGGACATTAGTTTTATAAGAACCTTTGAAATACAGTCAATATGTTTCCCATAACAATATACAGTTGAAGTCGGATGTTTACATACACCTTAGCCAAATCCATTTAAACTCAGTTTTTCACAATTCCTGACATTTAATCCTAGTAAAAATTCCCTGTCTTAGGTCAGTTAGGATCATCACTTTATTTTAAGAATGTGAAATGTCAGAATAATAGTAGAGAGAATGATTTATTTGAGCTTTTATTTCTTTCATCACATTCCCAGTGGGTCAAAAGTTTACATACACTCAATTAGTATTTGGTAGCATTGCCTTTAAATTGTTTAACTTGGGTCAAACGTTTCAGGTAGCCTTCCACAAGCTTCCCACAATAAGTTGGGTGAATTTTGGCCCATTCCTCCTGACAGAGCTGGTGTAACTGAGTAAGGTTTGTAGGCCTCCTTGCTTGCACACGCTTTTTCAGTTCTGCCCACAAATATTCTATAGGATTGAGGTCAGGGCTTTGTGATGGCCACTCCAATACCTTGACTTTGTTGTCCTTAAGCCATTTTGCCTCAACTTTGGAAGTATGCTTGGGGTCATTGCCCATTTGGAAGACCCATTTGCGACCAAGCTTTAACTTCCTGACTGATGTCTTGAGATGTTGTTTCAATATAGCCAAATAATTTCCCTTCCTCATGATGCCATCTATTTTGTGAAGTGCACCAGTCCCTCCTGCAGCAAAGCACCCCCACAGCATGATGCTGCCACCCCCGTGCTTCACGGTTGGGATGGTGTTCTTCGGCTTGCAAGCGACCCCCTTTTCCTCCAAACATAACGATGGTCATTATGGCCAAACAGTTATATTTTTGTTTCATCAGACCAGAGGACCTTTCTCCAAAAAGTACGATCTTTGTCCCCATGTGCAGTTGCAAACCGTAGTCTGTCTTTCTTATGGCGGTTTTGGAGCATTGGCTTCTTCCTTGCTGAGCGGCCTTTCAGGTTATGTTGATATAGTTATTGATATAATTATTATATAGGACTCGTTTTACTGTGGATATAGATATTTTTGTACCTGTTTCCTCCAGCATCTTCACAAGGTCCTTTGCTGTTGTACTGGGATTGATTTGCACCTTTCGCACCAAAGTACGTTAATCTCTAGGAGACAGAACGCATCTCCTTCCTGAGCGGTATGATGACTGCGTGGTCCCATGGTGTTTATACTTGCGTACTATTGTTTGTACAGATGAACGTGGTACATTCAGGCGTTTGGAAATTGCTCCCAAGGATGAACCAGACTTGTGGAGGTCTACAATTGTTTTTCTGAGGTCTTGGCTGATTTCTTTTGATTTTCCCATGATGTCAAGCAAAGAGGCACTGAGTTTGAAGGTAGGCCTTGAAATACATCCACAAGTACACCTCCAATTGACTCAAATGATGTCAATTAGCCTATCAGAAGCTTCTAACGCCATGACATCATTTTCTGGAATTTACCAAGCTGTTTAAAGGCACTGTCAACTTAGTGTATGTAAACTTCTGACCTACTGGAATTGTGATACAGTGAATTATAAGTGAAATAATTTGTCTGTAAACAATTGTTGGAAAAATTACTTGTGTCATGCACAAAGTAGATGTCCTAACCGACTTGCCAAAACTATAGTTTGTTAACAAGACATTTGTGGAGTGGTTGAAAAATGAGTTTTAATGACTCCAACCTAAGTGTATGTAAACTTCCGTCTTCAACTGTAATTTATAAAACGCATTGAAATCAAGATACTGTATGCTATATTTTAAAGATGCACATCAATACTGCCCTCAAGGCACAGTAATTACTACTGTACCACTATGTAATACAGTAACCTACATAGTATGCTACTTTCACTTACTTGACACAGAGAATGTTTGTTCCATTAGAAACATGCAAAACCAAAGAAAATATAATTGTTCAATATTATATTCAATGTAGATCAGGCAGTTTGGGGGGGGGGGGGGGGGGGGGGGGGGGGGAGCTAAAGAACTCAGTTATCTTTGTATTCACACTGCCCTTGCCTTTGAATGATGACTCAACTCTTTTGCCAGTTCACTTCACCTATTTTGTGGTCCGAGTCCTCTTTGCTTTCACATTGCTATGTTTAGAATTGTACACCCAATGTAGGCTACTGCCCATTTAGGGTACACAATCAATTCTAGCTCCTATGTTGTGATTCTCGCCAAATATGTTGTTGCCTTCTCATACTGTTCAAACCTCACAACCGAATAAACATCTCTCGTTTAGCCTATAGATCACATATTGCAAACAAATAATCTGAACTAAAAACTCCACACACATTTTGACATTTCTGTGCATCCTTGGCAATCGCTAATCAATATCCAAAAACCACCTCTCGAGATTGTCTCAGTTCGGTTCGCTTCGGGGTTCTTTTGAGGGGTCTGAGTTCCTTTGGAGTGTTCACACTGCACAAAAAATTGGCTGAAAGGGACCAAGTGTGAAAACACACCTAGAATGTGTCAATGAAGGCATTTTGAAATTGGCAATGATGAGTAAAACAGAGTAACAGTAATAAACATGATATCTTCCTGATGGGCCGCAATACAAATGTCATTTTTTAACCTACTATTTTGATTTAAACAGAAAAGGGCAACTTTTGATGATGACATAATGCCATATGCACCGCACTGAGAGTTGGTCATTGCTGAATCAAACATTCAAATCCAGCGCTTTAGTTTGACTCACAATCATGTCTGCAGCAGGAGATAATACCAATACAGATCCAACATACACAAGAGACTGAGAACTATGCAGCCTTTATATGAATCTGAGCATACAGCACAGAGCCAGTGAGTAACACACTTTCAATGCTGCCAAAATAACAGTGTCTTTGTATGCTCTTGGACTCTCACAACCTCTAATTTGGAATATATTGTTACTGAATCAGTCAAATGTCTCTTGGTCCCTCAGAGTGAGGTCTCCAGGCTGCAGGACCCCCGGCGGACATAGTAGCGACGCACCTCTGTGGTGGAGTCACCACTACCGCAGCCCTCGGGCCGGTGCACAATGAGAACGGGGAAGAAGCGTGCGTCCTGGTAGGTGGGCGGGCTCTCATTGAGAGCCAGCTGGCTGGAGTAGGAACGGCAGCACTGCTCGTCCACACAGCAGTGGTCAGTCAGTGTGCTGCTGCGGCTCCTCCACAGGCCCACGGTGCGCCGAGAGCCGTACATGCGGCACAGTGAGAAGTGGGAGGTGTCCAGGGAGAGGTGGGAGTGAAAGGCATGATGGGAGAAGATGGAGGAACAGCTGGAGCTGGTGGTGGCCCGCCTCTGTCCAACCTCGCCCTGAAGCTGGCAGCAGTGCTCACAGTCCTGCACCAGCGTGCCATAGCTCCGGGCTGGGTGGCTGTCCAGCAGGAAGCAGTTAGAGGACCTGGTGTCATCAGCTGTACCAGAGTCTGAAGACGCCTGGTTCATCAGCATGGCCTCTGAGTAGCTGGGGATCAACTGGCGGTCGGACCGGATGTGCCACTCCAGCTCAGTGCTGTCCACGGTATCTACCCGAGGGAGACCACTCCTGATGGGAACCTCCTCTATTGGAGAGGGGCTACTGTGGCTGTACTCCAGCCCAAATAGCTTCTCAACATGGTAGTGCACAAAAGCTGTACGGTACTCTATAAGCACCCTCAGGGGCCAGGCCAGCATGAGCAGAGCAGCGAACCAGAATGCCACCTGAGAAGTATACCAGGGCAACCGGTCAGGGTCCACGTAGGCTATCAGGTGCTCTTTAAAGTCCACGTTTTTCAGTTGCATCCCTTCCCGAGCCTCCATGTAGTCATCCAAACCCTCAATCTCTGAGAAGAACCTGGCACGTTGGTTGAGGTAATTATTTTCTGGTCCGGCCCCAGCGAAACTGAAGCACTTGGTGAAACGAAGTCTCGTTGCCGGGTGGCTCTCAAGTCCACGTAGATCCCGCGAGACATCCCGCATACCACAGCGACTGTAGTCGAACTCTCCCTCCCCCACGTGTGTGTTGACCCGCTCATGGTAGACCTGGGTGGTGGTGTAGGCATCGCCGTTCCGGTAGCGGGTCACCTGTCTGGTCCTCCGAACAAAATGGTAACTTATGGCCTTCCACCAAACACACGGACGGGCCTGTTGCATCCGCAATACCCGCTCATACACGCTATCCACATCAGCCTTACACTGTAGCTCACTGCAAGCCTGGCAGTGCCAACACTCTATCAGGTAGACGACATAGAGCATGAACAGGAAGGCCAGAGGGATGTACACATAGCCGTCAGAGCAGGGGCTGTCATGGTAAATCATAGAGCGGCCTCCCATGCCAGTCCCTCGGAGTGAGGAAATGGAGGCTGTCAGGGAGGTGACGGATGAGTCGAAGCTGAGCTTGGTGACTTGGGTGAGCTGGCACCAAGCCACAGTGCCAAGGCAGCTGTACATGAGGAGGGAGAGCAGTAGGCAACGCCAGTGGGACTCTCGACACATACAGGCACTAAGTGATTGCTTCACAGGCCGCTGCTGCATAGGAAAAGAGAGGAGTAAAAAGAGAGAGAGTGAGAGAAAAGCTTACATACAATACTCTTTGAAAAGATAACATGGATGACAAATGGCTGTATTTAAAAAGCTTTTAGCAGAGTTATTAAAAGGAGAACAGTGTTTGAAGAACTTACAGAATCTCTAATAAAAATACAACAGTTTCTTTATGTTGCCTCTTTCCTGCAATGCCATGTCTGATTAATCAGTTTGTTTATATTTCTGTGTTTAAGGAGAGCTGGATCACAATGTAGGCTATTTGATTTACCTATACAGGTTGAAAGGTTTTTAACAGGGCAGAAAGCAACAGTGTCACCTGAATAATAGATCTACTGTACCTGGTACAGTGTACCATGAGGAAAAGTGAGTACACACAACACTGAGCCTAATAAAATGCAGTGCTCCAATATTTCTGTGGGCAAAATGCAAATTAACAATACAGAGCTGTAATGTGCTGAGCTTTTTGAAACTCAAAGTACAGTAAATGAGGTTGAAGCGATACCATGTACAGTAGCTTGCTTGAATTTAATTTAAGGCTACTTTGCGCGATGGAAACAACTGCTAATCATGTTAGGACAATATACAACGCTAACATTCCACCCAAATCCTTCCTCACCACTGTATTGTCAGTCCCCTATGTTACTGCTAACCTTTCAACCATCTTTGGGTTACAGTAGTCATGCACCATGTCCAACAGGGCATGTGTATCCTCAATCTCCCAGTGACCTCTGCTGCTAAAATGAACATTGACTTTCTATACTTAACTTGACCACAACAGAATCAAACACACAGGTAATTGGATTACACATTTTTCGTACCCTATACAGTATATCTGCTGAGTGTCAAGTGAAGAGCTCAGTGCAGCAACCCCAGTCTGTCCTGACATCTTCAAAAGTGCTCACATTTGCAATTCTGACTGCTAATGAAATGTATCCGCTTTTTTTCCCAGTACAATGAGTATAGTGTCCCAGACCTAAGTCAACTGGCCATAAAACATTTCAAATAGGCAGGGTAAATATACATACTGTAGTTGTACCTTGTCCTGTTGTAGGAAGAATACATGTTTTGACTGTTTGACCATGTTTTCAGCTAATTCAGGTCTTTCAGGTGTATAACAGCCATTCACCCATGAAGATCAACTGACCACATAGTGGAAGTGTCATGGTCTTTCACCTCTAAGAATTAGTGTAGCTTCATGCAAGAAACATTTCATTAACTGATATGTGATAAAGGGAGAACTCAGTCAGCAATGCTGACTCATAAGTCAATCATCAGTCAACTTGGTTCCAATAACTTATATCCCTGAAATGCCACACACATTGTAAGTCAGATACAATGTTTTACTGGTAAAGTGTTTCATATGAAGGTTATGAACCAAACTAGCCAGACCAGACAGAAAGGGCTAACTCAGACTGGACATGTAACCAGGCATCGACACAAGTAAAACGTCAGCAATACCATTGACTTTGGAGCATCCTCGTACAGGCAACACAGCATCATGGGTCAGGACCTCTGGGACACAGACAGTAGGATTGATCACAAAAAAAACTCTCCATCATTTTATGGTCTCTCCTAGAAGCTATATTTCACGGTAGGCTGCACACAATCAATTCCCCAGATGGAATTTGTGTAATTATAGCCTACAGACTGGAGGTAAAACTCCAGCATTCATAGTACACATCATCAACTACAGGTTACAAAATCCAGCTTCTCAGAATTGCTGTATTGTGCCTTGCATATCCATGCCATTACTAGGCTCTGTCTTCTATGACATGTATTTCTTAGAAAGATTAAGTTGTTTTCTGTCTTATACATAATACAGTACTTTTGAATGCAGAATAAAAGTAAAATAATATATTCATTTAGAGATAATGGTAGGGTTGGACATCATACAGGCTATATGTTGCTCTTGGCTATTGCACTTCCATCCAATCTGAGAAACGATTAAATGAAATAGTATTTTGCTGGTGAATCAATTGTGATGCCATTATTAGACTCCAGAGAACAGAGATCATTTTGTGGTACAGAAATTGCACTCAGTACATTTTCTTGCATCTGATGAATAGTGTGGCGTGGGGTTAAACCACTTTATGTCACCAGAAAAATGTTCAACACTTTCCTTGCCACTAGTCTTGCTCAACTAAAAATGTAATCTGTCTCATCTCAATTTAAGTCACTCCAAGCAAATGATTTTGAGGTACATTTATCAAATATTTTGTCATTTAGAACAAGTTTTTCTTTATTCTTACTATTTTCTACATTGTAGAATAATAGTGAAGACATCAAAACTATGAAATAACACATATGGAATAATGTAGGTGGTCCTCTGTAGCTCAATTGGTAGAGCGTGGCTCTTGTAACGCCAGGGTAGTGGGTTCGATCCCCGGGACCACCCATACGTAAAAATGTATGCACACATGACTGTAAGTCACTTTGGATAAAAGCGTCTGCTAAATGGCATATTATATTATATGTAGTAACCAAAAAAGTGTTAAACAAATCAAAATATATTTTATATTTTAGATTCTTCCCTTTGCCTTGATGACAGCTTTGCATACTCTTGGCATTCTCTCAACCAGCTTCACAAGGAATGCTTTTCCAACAGTCTTCAAAGAGTTCCCACATATGCTGAGCACTTGTTGCCTGCTTTTCCTTCACTCTGCGGTCCAACTCATCCCAAACCATCTCAATTGGGTTGAGGTCAGGTGATTGTGGAGGCCAGGTCATCTGATGCAGCACTCCATCACTCTCCTTATTGGTCAAATAGCCCTTACGCAGCCTGGAGGTGAGGTGTGTTGGGTCATTGTCCTGTTGAAAAACCTTGAATTCTAAATAAATAATCGACAGTGTCACCAACAAAGCACCCCCACACCATCACACCTCCTCCTCCATGCTTCACGGTGGAAACCACACATGCGGAGATCATCCGTTCACCTACTCTGCGTCTCACAAAGACACGGTAGTTGGAAACAAAAATCTCAAATTTGGATTTATCAGACCAAAGGACAGATTTCCACCAGCTCGTGTTTCTTGGCCCAAGCAAGTCTCTTCTTATTATTGGTGTCCTTTAGTAGTGGTTTCTTTGCAGCAATTTGACCATGAAGGCCTGATTCACGCAGTCTCCTCTGAACAGTTGATGTTGAGATGTGTCTGTTACTTTAATTCTGTGAAGCATTTATTTGGGCTGCAATCTGAGTTGCAGTTAACTTTAATGAACTTATCCTCTGCAGCAGAGGTAACTCTGGGTCTTCCTTTCCTGTGACAGTCCTCATGAGAGCCAGTTTCATCATAGCGCTTTATTGTTTTTGCGACTGCATTTGAAGAAACTTTCAAAGTTCTTGAAATGTTCAGGATTGACTGACCTTCATGTCTTAAAGTAATGATGGACTGTCGTTTCTCTTTGCTTATTTGAGCTGTTCTGCCATAATATGCACTTGGTCTTTTACCAAATAGGGCTATCTTCTGTATACCACCCAACCCTACCTTGTCACAACACAACTGATTTCGCTACACCCGCAATAACATCTGCTAAACACGTGTATGTGACAAATAAAATGTGATTTGATTTGATTGGCTCAAATGCATTAAGAATGAAAGAAATTCCACAAATTAACTTTTAACAAGGCAGACCTATTAATTAAAATGCGTTCCAGGTGGCTACCTCATGAAGCTAGTTGAGAGAACGCCAAGAGTGTGCAAAGCTGTCATCAAGGCAAAGGGTGGCTACTTTGAAGAATCTCAAATATAAAATATATTTTGATTTGTTTAACACGTTTTTGGTTACTACATGATTCAATATGTGTTATTTCATAGTTTTGAAGTCTTCGCTATTATTCTACAATGTAGAAAATAGTACTAATAAAGAAAAACCCTTGAATGAGTAGGTGTGTCCAAACTTTGACTGGTACTGTACAGTGGGGGAAAAAAGTATTTAGTCAGCCACCAATTGTGCAAGTTCTCCCACTTAAAGAGATGAGAGAGGCCTGTAATTTTTATCAACTATGACAGACAAAGTGAGATTTTTTTTCTCCACAAAATCACATTGTAGGATTTTTAATGAATTTATTTGCAAATTATGGTGGAAAATAAGTATTTGGTCAATAACAAAAGTTTCTCAATACTTTGTTATATACCCTTTGTTGGCAATGACACAGGTCAAACGTTTTCTGTAAGTCTTCATAAGGTTTTCACACACTGTTGCTGGTATTTTGGCCCATTCCTCCATGCAGATCTCCTCTAGGGCAGTGATGTTTTGGGGCTGTCGCTGGGCAACACGGACTTTCAACTCCCTCCAAAGATTTTCTATGGGGTTGAGATCTGGAGACTGGCTAGGCCACTCCAGGACCTCCAGGATCATTTTGACCCCACGGGGTGAGATCTTGCGTGGAGCCCCAGATCGAGGGAGATTATCAGTGGTCTTGTATGTCTTCTATTTCCTAATAATTGCTCCCACAGTTGATTTCTTCAAACCAAGCTGCTTACCTATTGCAGATTCAGTATTCCCAGCCTGGTGCAGGTCTACAATTTTGTTTCTGGTGTCCTTTGACAGCTCTTTGGTCTTGGCCATAGTGGCGTTTGGAGTGTGACTGTTTGAGGTTGTGGACAGGTGTCTTTTATACTGATAACAAGTTCAAACAGGTTCCATTAATACAGGTAACGAGTGGACAGAGGAGCCTCTTAAAGAAGAAGTTACAGGTCTGTGAGAGCCAGAAATCTTGCTTGTTTGTAGGTGACCAAATACTTATTTTCCACCATAATTTGCAAATAAATTCATTAAAAATCCTACAATGTGATTTTCTGGGGTTTTTTTCCTCAATTTGTCTGTCATAGTTGACGTGTACCTATGATGAAAATTACAGGCCTCTCTCATCTTTTTAAGTGGGAGAACTTGCACAATTGGTGGCTGACTAAATACTTATTTTCCCCACTGTATATATAAAAATAATCTAATGAAGTTAGATCTATAAACTTTTTTATTCAGTGTATTCGGAAAGTATTTAGACCCTTGACTTTTTCCACATTTTGTTACGTTACAGCCTTATTCTAAAATGGATTAATTACATGTTTTCCTCATAAATCTACACACAATACCCCATAGTGACAAAGTGAAAACAGGTTTATAGAAATGTTTGCAAATGTATTAAAAATAAATTACAGAAATACCTTATTTACATAAGTATTCAGACCCTTTGCTATGAGACTCGAAATTGAGCTTAAGTGCATCCTGTTTCCATTGATCATCCTTGAGATGTTTCTACAACTTGATTAGAGTCCACCTGTGGTAAATTCAATTGACTGGACATGATTTGGAAAGGCACACAGCTGTCTATATAAGGTCCCACAGTTGACAGTGCATGTCAGAGCAAAAACCAAGCCATGAGGTCGAAGGAATTGTCCGTAGAGCTCCCAGACAGGATTGTGTTGAGGCACAGATCTGGGGAAGTGTACCAAAAAAATTCTGCAGCATTGAAGGTCCCCAAGAACACAGTGGCCTCCATCATTCTTAAATGGAAGAAGTTTGGAACCACCAAGACTCTTCCTAGAGCTGGCCACCCGGCCAAACTGAGCAATCGGGGGAGAAGGTCCTTGGTCAGGGAGGTGACAGAGCTCCAGAGTTCCTCTGTGGAGTTGGGAGAACCTTCCAGAAGGACAACCATCTCTGCAGCACTCCACCAATTAGGCCTTTATGGTAGAGTGGCCAGACGGAAGCCACTCCTCAGTAAAAGGCACGACAACCCGCTTGGAGTTTGCCAAAAGTCACCTAAAGGACTCTCAGACCATGAGAAACTAGATTCTCTGGTCTGATGAAACCAAGATTGAACTCTTTGGCCTGAATGCCAAGCGTCACGTCTGGAGGAAACCTGGCACCATCCCTACGGTGAAGCTTGGTGGTGGCAGCATCATGCTGTGGGGATATGCTTCAGCGGCTGGGACTGGGAGACTAGTCAGGATCAAGGGAAAGATAAATGGAGCAAAGTACAGAGAGATCCTTGATGAAAACCTGCTCCTGAGCGCTGGGGACCTCAGACTGGGGCGAAGGTTCACCTTCCAACAGGACAATGACCCTAAGCACACAACCAAGACAATGCAGGAGTGGCTTCAGGACAAGTCTCTGAATGTCCTTGAGTGGCCCAGCCAAAGCCCGGACTTGAACCTAATCGAACATCTCTGGAGACCTGAAAATAGCAGTGCAGTGAAGTTGCCCATCCAACCTGACAGTGCTTGAGAGCTTGAGAGGATCTGCTGAGAATAATGGGAGAAAATCCCCAAATACAGGTGTGCCAAGCTTGTAGCGTCATACCCAATAATACTTTTCCCCCCAAGTTACCCATGAATTGCAATAATCAATATGATATAGGTCCACAGGTAGGGCCTATTGATTGTGTGCCTTTTCTTATGAGGCTGCGGGCTGCACTTGTTTGCACCAATTAATAAGTTGCCTTTCCACCAAATATATGCAGTAGTCTAGAAGGCTATATATCATATACTTTTAATTCATAAAAAATACATCATTATGCGCTTTTTCAGGATGATGCTGTCTTCCCTATTATGTAATCTACATTCAACCGCGTACCCTAGCTCTCACCTCCTCCAGTACATCAATGCTGGCTGGTGCATCCTCTCCATCATTGGGGGTGTTGGGCGCTGTTTCTTCCGCAGTGGTATCCGTTTCCAAATCGGGAGAGAACATGCTGCTGTCTGGACATGGCAGAATCAAGTCAAAGTTTCCCGTAGGCTACCCCTCTCTTTTCTGGTCCCCAACAGAGCTTCAGATCATCTGGGCTGGAGCCAAGGCGAATAGGGATCCCGCTTTTAGGAGCTCCAATTTCTTGAACCCGGGGGGCGGGGACGATTTGACCGCAGAGGCTTGCCGATACATTAAAGAGCAGAGAAAAAAAAGATAAATTAAACACCGAAATACCGCAGGTTGAAGCGCATGTGTGCGCAATAAACAGCCTGAATAGAAAGTCTGATCACTGATCAGATATCTAAAATGAATGGCAAAATAGCCAACTGTAGGCTGCCTTGCACAGAGAAAGTGATGTCATTCGCTCTTTACAAGCAGAATTTTTTAAAACAGCTTCCAATGATGTGTGTGTTCAGCATCAGCATCTGTCGCCCAATTAAATAAGAAGAAGAAGACGAGACAGTTCAATCATTTTTACATTCACCACATTACATTACATAACATGGAATAGTCAAGGCTTGGAGCTGTTAAAAAAAGTGAGATTTTTCCTAAATTATGCACCCATTGAAAATAAATGTATGACTTCAAATATAGCCTACGTTGTGACCTAACAAACTGATTCATCCTTATTTTAATTCCTACATTCATCATCTTCATCATCATATCCATGAAAGTAGCCTATTCCTAGTATTTATAATACCCTAGCCTACTACTATCTTAACTGTATTTTTAATGTTATATACCCCCAAAGTGTATAACTAACCCAAGATTGACCACAGCCTGTCGTTTCCAATGGGAGCTAATGAATGGACAGAACGAGCAAGGTGGTGGGCAGAGCCAAGCACGAGCTAGCGAGATCCTATTGGCGTGTTGTAGTATATATTTGCATATGTCCGTTAGGGAACCCCTACTTTGAAGTGCGCATGTGCAATAACTCAATTCGCCCTTACGTTCCTTCTAAAGAACGCTTTTTTTTTTACTTTGGCAAAGGGTAAAGTTTACAAACCTTCGTCCACTCTATTCGTAACATATATTAATTTTGGAAACAGAAAACTGTATTGAGATCAGATGTTTCTTCGATGAGAAAATCCATCTCGCTCCATCTTCTCCCACTGCCGGCCACTGGGCTTCCTCTCATCACCATATCTGGTAGTGAGTGGAAACTCCAACCGGATGCTTCACATTTATACATCCGGTGAAAAATCTGGCTCATTGTTCTGTCTGTGTTATTACTGTATAATGCATTTATGGTGGACTTTATTTTGAAGTCGGATTTGTGGGCGTCACACTGTCACGGGAAGTAACCGCCCCTTGTTGGTGGATGTTTTTGAGTTTGCACTCACGTTGTGTAAATTTTTCTGTGAATTATAACCCAGAGGATTTCTTACTGAAGGTGAATTCAACAAATACATTGATATAAATGTAGTTTTTAAATGTATGACATTGCAACGGCCCCATATAATAAAGCAGCAAATGCTCCGGCTGTAGCTAGCCAGCAAGCTAACGTTAGCTAGCTAGCAAGAACACCAACTAGCTACTGTGGCTAGCTAGCTAACTAAGCACTTTGCAATCATGAACATGTCATGATCACTATTAGCTAGGTTTTCAATGTGCTGTTTCTCTGTTTATTAGCTGCTGGATCCGTGCCTGTAAATTACAATGTTCTAGAACAGCTAGCTATCTAGTTAACATTCAAATTGTAGGAGAGGTGTTGACATGATGTGGTGTACTGTTAGGTGAGAGGCGAGGAGAATGTGATTGGTTGAAAGCTTAGTTAAAAAGTTATTTTCTGATGTGGTAACAGTATAATATCACAGCCCTGTACTTAAACATAGTAATACGTAGCCATATACCGTATTGTGTGATACCCCACTATGTTTACAGATAGTCAAATCCTTTTGTCTAACATGTTCCTTTATCTGTAGGGGGATGATACAGCGTCCCAAGCCCACTGACTCAGAGGCTGACCTCCTACGAGAGCAGGAGAGGTTTCTTGCCTCAGGGACCCAGTCCACGGTCAATGTGGTCCGACGGCCAGACAAGAGATCAGGAGACTCCGAGGGGGCTCAAGGAGACCAGCGAGATGTGGTCACAATCCAAGGTTCATAGGCTGCGTTTACACAGGCAGCCCATTGCTGATCTTTTTTCTACTAATTGGTCTTTTGACCAATCACATAATATCTTTTTACATCAGATCTTTTTCAGAGTTGGTCTGATTGGTCAAAATACCAATTAGTGAAAAAAAGATCCGAATTGGGCAGTCTTCGTAAACATAGCCATAGTAACACAGTCTATCATCATACATGTAGGGCGGCAGGTAGCTTAGTGGGTAAGAGCGTTGTGCCAGTAACCGAAAGGTCGCTGGTTCTAATCCCAGAGCCGACTAGGTGAAAAATCTGTTGATGTGCCCTTGAGCAAGGCACTTAACCCTAATTGCTCCTGTAAGTCGCTCTGGATAAGAGCTTCTGCTAAATGACACAAAAAAAAAAAAAAAAAAAAAATACACCTCTCTGTAAGATAGTTGATTGTGTGTAGCGTGGAGCCTAAACACAATTTTAGGTATTCTGATTGTTAAAAATATGATGCTGTGCATCTCTTTCTTTAGATCTTCCAGATGAGCTCCCCACTCTGACTCCTGCACCTCCCAAAAAGTCTCGCCTCAAAGCCGAGCGTGTTCGCTTTGAGGATGAGGACCCAGAGGAGAGGTTGGACAGACATGACACGCACATCAGTGCTGTTCTCTCCAAGATCATTGTGAGTGATACTCTCACCATTTATCTCCTGCTCAGCAGAGCCACACACAGTTCTGTTTGTGTCTCAACAACAACTCCTACATTCTTGCTTCTCTTCCCCTAGGAAAGGGACACTAGCACTACACCAGTGTCCTTACCAGCATTCACGGGTCTTGCTTTTCCTAAAGTATTACACCGGCCCGAGATGGAGAGCCCGGTAGGAGCTCAATTGCTCAGCTTTGTTATGAGGATCAATTAGTTACTACAGAAATGACTTCATACTATATGTGGTACAATTAATCCAGAATGGTGCTTCACAAGTTATGGATGCACACACAAACTATTGCTCTAAATTATGTTATGTTTCACTAGGTTCCAGCTACTGGGGGAAAGATGAGCATTTTTGCCCGACAGATTGCAGCACAGAGAATAAAAGAGGGGAAGACCCCTTTACACTGTACACCAGAATCCAGGGGTCAAACATCTGGACCCAAGGTGCTGAACCTCTCTCCAGAGTCCACCATGGAGATTGATCAACCTCCCTCTAGACTTGACCGTAAGTACCAGAGTTCTAATAATTAATTTCATAAAGTTGAAAATACTATATTCCTGGCAGACTCTGAAGGCCCAACTTGGCTTGCACTGAATGGGATGTCCTGTTTGTTTTTGTACTGTCCCACTTGCAAGACAAGCCTGCCATTACTAAATTGTTCAGTTGGGGAAACTTGCTCATGTCTCTCTCTTTCTCTTCCAGGATTCAGTGCAATGGCGGGCCCCAGGCTGGTGTCTGGCCAGGGGCTTGGTGGGTCAGACAGTACAGTAGAAACACTGAAGATCCATCAGGAGAACCAGGCCAAACTACAGGCCATGTCTAAGGGAGAGATCCTGGAGGAGCAGAAAAGGCTGCTGGGTCAGCTAGGTAGGCACATTTGGGGATTGTTGTGCTGTGTTTGATGAGGCTATGATGTGAGCCTTTTAAACCTTCAATCATATTGTGTACCTCTCAGATCCCAGACTTGTTGACTTTGTGAGGTCTCGTAAGGCACCGGGAGCTCCAGCCTCTGCCCCACAGCCTTCCAACTCCCAGGATGAGAGACGCAGGGAACGGCTTCTTCAAGAAACCGTCATGTTGGAGACAGACGCTAAGAAGCCAGAGCAGAATCCTCTGGAGGTAGAGATGGAGAGAGAGGAAGATGAGGAAGAACCAACCCCACAACCGCCAATGAAAGGTAGAAGACATTTTAGAAATGTGCTGTAACTCCATTACGAATTAGCAAGAGAAACTGCCGCTGCACTGTAAGTCCTAGCACTCCTGGATGTCTGCCAACTGTTTCCCCTCCTTTCATCTAATTGCACAACTAATTTCGTATTGCAGAAAAGACGCCTTAGAGCTCTGTGACTGGAATATCTGCTTGATTAGAAGCAAGCTAGCCAAATTCAGATTCACTTTGTGTAATGGAGATCATTGGGGAAAGCCCAAGACATACTGTATGAACATAGAGGAAGAATGATTTGATTGTCCGTTGCTGGACCACAGTGCGTGTCTACAGTATTTTGGATTGTTCTCAGACAGCAATGCCAGCATTACAAGCTTTTATTCTCCATTAGTCTGATAGGAGGGAAATGTACTACTGAGGCACTAGAGTAACTAGATGCATTCGAGTTACCCCAAAACCTGGTTTCGATTCAGATCTAGATCATTTTGGGTTCCTAATTTTGGATATTTAGCCCATGAAGTGCTTTACAAATAGTGCTAAATATTGTACTAATGATGCATTCCCACCATGTATCTCTCCAGAGGAGGACCTGCCAGTTAAGCCTCAGAAGGAGTGGGTGCACATGGACAAGCTGGAGCCAGAGAAGCTGGAGTGGATCAGGGACCTGCCTGCCCCCAGACGGAAAGGAACCAAGCAGGTACAAACTACTGTTTACATGGAACACTTTGTCAAGAGATGCGGAGAGCTTGTGTGTTTGTCTCATCTAATGACTATCACTGTGTCTCTGTGCTGACAGGCCATGCAGGCTCGCTTTGACTTTGCCGGAACCCTGATCCCGCCCACAGAGGACCTGCCCACCCACCTTGGTCTGCACCACCATGGAGAGGAGCCTGAGGTCAGTATAGAGCCCTAAGACACACATCTCCTGGTTGTTTTTCCAGAGAATATGCTTGTTGACCTCTTCTCTCTGTCTCCCCCAGCTGGCTGGTTACTCCCTGCAGGAGCTCTTCCTTCTCTCTCGTAGTCAGGTGATCCAGCAGCGGAGCCTGGCACTCAACACTCTGGCCCACATCCTCACCAAGGTACTGCCTGTCAATCAGTTCAATCACATAGAGCCATTCAGACAAAAGCTGTATGCAGTAGTTATGGTTATCAGAAGACAGTTGAATCCGCTTTAACGTTGGAGATCGGTGCTCCTGTTGTTCCTGTAGGCGCGTGCTGGTGAGTTTGCGGCCGCTCTCAGGGGCAGTGTGGTGTCCACTCTGCTGGATGCTGGCCTTCTCTTCCTGCTGCGCTTCTCACTGGACGATAATGTGGAGGGAGTGATGTCTGCCGCTGTGCACGCGCTCAGAGCCCTCCTGGTGTCCTCAGACGATGAGGTAAGAGACCTTGCATACAGAGTGCACCTTGTATCATCACCACTAGTGTACCATGGTTTGGTATGCGTGTATAAACACATCGTTTTTTTAACAATCTTTGTCCCTGTCTTGTTTCAGGATTGTCTGGACAGCACTCTCTCATGGTTCCGTGGGCTGGCCTCTTTTCCTCTACTGCCCACTGCTCAGGACGAGGAGGATGAGGAAGACGAGGGGCTGCCTGAGGTCATGAGAGAGACGGCTCAAGAGAAGGAAGAGAAGAAGACTGATCATGACGTGGCCAGGGATGATGTCGTTAAGGTGACTAGAGACCAACAGTCCTTCACCTTTCCACTATCGCTCGCTCTGTAATGATGCACCTCATTGTCTTTGCACCCTGTGGAGAAGTGCTAGTGATAAATGCATTGTCTAAAGCTGTTGGCTGTGTTGGTTCTCTGTTTCAGGGTTTACTGAGGATGAAGCTGCTTCCTAGGCTCCGCTACATCCTAGAGGTGATCCGCCCGTCACCCAGGGGGGTCCAGGATGTGCTGGGAGTCCTGATCCGAATCGCCAGACACTCCTCCTCTGCAGCCACTCAGGTAACATCAACTACACCGTCCACAATGCCCTCTGGCATACAGTATATGTTCCTCTCTCTGGTTTTATTAGCTATAAGCCCCTTGACATGAGGGACCATTTGTAGTATGACTACTATCTGTACTGTCACTGCAGGTCTTGGACTGCCCTCGTCTGATGGAGACTGTTATGTCAGAGTTCCTGCCCTGCTCCTGGGCAGTGCCCTCCTCGCCCACGCCCCAGTCTGCATACGGACTGCCCGTGGCCAACGCCATGAAGCTGCTACGTGTCCTGGCCACCACTGGCAGACACGCCTGTGCCAGGCTGGTAAGTGTGGAGAGAGGAGTTTTCAAACCCAACTGCCAGCTTACCTCATGTAGTAATGCTACACTTAGCCTTCTTCTGTTGGGTAACTTCAATATGATGGAGTGATGCATAAGTGTTTTCTGATCTTGATGTGATATATGATCTTGTCTAATAGACTATTAGAATGAAGTCACTGACTGTGTTCCCCAGCTGAACTCTCTAGGTGCGCGTGAGCGTCTGTCTCGTCTGCTGGCCCCAGAGCCCAGCGAGCTGCTGCTGGAGCCGGGTGAGGCCCTGAGGGTCAGCACTGAGGCCTACCGGCTGTGGGCCATTGCAGCCAGCTACGGACAGGCCTGTAACCTGTACATGTGAGTCACTGGTTTTCAAACCCCCAAACATCACCTACACTGAGTGTACAAAACATTAGGAACACCTTCCTAATATTGAGTTGCACACCCTTTTGCCCTCAGAACAGCCTCAATTCATCGGGGCATGGACTCTACAAGGTGTCGAAAGCGTTTCACAGGGGTGCTGGTCCAAGTTGACTCCAATGCTTCCCACAGTTGTTTCAAGTTGGCTGGATGTCCTTTTGGGTGGTGGACCAATTCTTGATACACACGGGAAACTGTTGAGCGTGAAAAAAACAGCAGCTTTGCAGTTCTTGACACACTCAAACCGGGTCACCTGGCACCTACTACCATACACTGTTCAAAGGCACTTACATCTTTTGTCTTGCCCATTCACCCTCTGAATAGCACACATAAACAATCCATGTCTCAAGGCTTAGAAATCCTTCTTTCACCTGTCTCCGCCCCTTCATCTACACTGATTTAAGTGTATTTAACAGGTGACATCAATAAGGGATCAGTCTGTCGTGGAAAGAGCAAGTGTTCCTATTGTTTTGTACACTCAGTGTATATGGGCTCCTGGGGGATGGTAGGGCTGAAATAAGCTATCTGCACACGCTGTGTTAAAAGAATAGTCTTCTCCTCCCAATTTCATTTACAAAGGGATTGCTTAATACCACAGACAACTTAGATCAGATGGGTATAATCGCTTGGTGTTAGATTAAACATGGCAGGAACAGCTGTGTCAACAACAAGTCTGTCCCTCCGGGTGAATAGTACAGCAGAACATCTTCTTCCCTCTACCATTACCAGAGACCTGTACCCCATCCTGGTGAGAGTGTTGCAGTCTGCCCACCGGCCCTGGCACCCCTCGGACCCCCTGTTGCCCCTGGAGCTCCACAGGCTCCAGGCCCTCCTCACTCTGCTCACCCACGTCACACATACCGCTGGCTGCCATCAGGAGCTGCAGGCTGGCCTGGTCAGGTAACACACTCTGAATCTCTACTACTTCTAACTATGTTCACTCCTGCAGCTTTGAAGTGTTTCATGTGGCTCCATGATGTGCTGCTTTGTATTGATAGCCATTGGATTCAACAGTGCCAAACCTCTACTTTCACTACAGTTCCCAGGGGGCCGAGTGTCCTCCCCCACCCCCGGTGACGTGGGGTCATGTGACAGGTCTACAGCCCACAGTGCTGGGGCTGCTGAAGGGCTGTGTGAGAACTCTGGGGGAGCCAGTCCAGAGGGAGAGCACCCTGAGACTGGTGCCGGCCTACCTGCTCTACATGGGGGCCTTCTACTCCCAGCTCTCCATCCAGGTGACTGTATAAAACCATAGCAGTACTCAACAAGGGAATTAAAAGATCCGACCAGAATTGAATCGAAATAGTCGTAACTGCCTGTCCTCGTCGCCTCGTCATCCTTCATCAGGACAGATTGGAAAGAGGCTTCCACTACAGTGCTGTGATAAAATATTTGCCCCCTTTTGGATTTTCTCTGTTTTTGCATATTTTTTTACACTGAGTGTCGTCAAATGTTCAACCAAAACCTAATATTAGATAAAGGGAACAAATAACACAATTTGATACTTATTTCATTTATTTAATAAACAAAGTTATGCAATAACCAATGCCCTGTGTGAGAAAGTAATTGGCCCCTTACACTCAATAACTGGTTGTCCCACCTTTTAGCTTCAATGACTGCAACCAAATGCTTCCTGTAGTTGTTGATCAGTCTCTCACATCGCTGTGGAGGAATTTTGTCCCACTCTTCCATGCAGAACTGCTTTAACTCTGAAACATTTTAACTCTGAAACATTTGTGGGCTTTCAAGCATGAAGTAAAAAACGTAAAATGTGTTGGTTTTCAGCCATTCTGATATAGACTTGCTTGTTTGCTTTGGATTATTGTCTTGCTGCATGACCCAGCTGCGCTTCAACACACGGACGGATGGCCTGACATTCCTTTTTAGAATTCTCTGATACAGAACAGAAAGGTGCTTCTAGGTCCTTTTTAGCAAACTTGAGATTACTTTTTGGACGACATGGGTCCCGTTATCTGTCGAAAACCAAACACTGCATTCCAAAGTAAGAACCTCATACCAACAGTCAAACATGCTTTGCTGCCTCAGGACTTGAACGACTTGCCATCATTGAAGAAACTGATATGTATCAGAGAATCCGACAGGAGAATGTCAGGCCATCCATCCATGAGCTGAAGCTGAGGCGCAGCTGGGTCATGCAGCAAGACAATGATCCAAAACACACAAGCAAGTCTACAGCAAAAATAGAGAAAATCATCTCATATTCTCTTTTCTATTCTGGATTACGATGTGTCTTTAGTTAGTAATATATGTCTGTGCCAAACCTTTCAGAGCTCGTTCAATCCAGTGGAGTGTCTGCAGGAGCTGGAGATGCTTACCTCAGAGGTTCTTCTCCCTCTGCTGTCCCACGAGGCTGTTCACAGCCTGATTAACAACCTCAAGTGAGTCCCATCTACTTAGAAGCATAGAGCTACATCTATGGTGATTTACTCCCTATCTGCAGTGCGTAATGGAGGGAATGTTGCTCTTCCTGTGTGGTTGTGCGTTTTTCTGTCTAGCACCTGATCCAGTGCTGTAGGATGATGCTCTGGGAGTGTATAGTCTCTGTGTTGTGTCCCCAGGTGTAGCTCGGCAGTGTGTAACCCCCAGTCCTGCTGCCCCGGCCCTGAGACCATCCCCAGTCTGCCTGGTCTGGGCTGCGCCGGGTGGATGTCTGGTGGGGGTCTTGCTGGACCCAGCTCCCCCTTCCCCCTCATTACCTCCCTGTGCTACCTCCTGGACACCCTCACCAGCATCCACAGAGGCCTGGTCCGCAAAGTAGGTCCTTATGAAGCTGTAGTTACTCTCTAAATTTGACTTTAACTCTCAGGTGTAAACCACAAGCGTTAGTGTGGTTCTGAGTGGAACGGAATGAATATATGTCGCCAACTAGTGGTTGATTTTGAGATGTGTAACAAACAATTCACATTAATGTCTTTGCCTTGTTACCTTGCAGTGGGCTAGTGGGACTAGGACTAATCTCTCTCCTATGGTCTCGCTCTCTGTTCAGTTCAGCTCCCTCCTCCTCTTTGAGGCTGTGCTAGGATACCTGCGTGGCTGTGGCCAAGCCAAGCCTACCCTGTCTCACTGGGTCCTGCGTCATGAACACCACCTGCTCTACCTGCTGCTGAAGCTGACCCACAGACTGGTAGTGTATAGAGCCCAACTTCCATCCCATCACTCAGTCTTAGGCTAGTCTGGATACCTGTCTGTTTAGCTATCATTCCACTCCTGTCATGCCAAACGCCACCTTTGGCATTTGACCCAGAGTACAAGGAGTGGAATGTTAGCCGAACAGACTTGTACCCATATAGTCATTCAGGGTGATGCTGTTTATCATCGCCCTATAGGCTCATCTTGTCCTTGTCATTGAGTCACTTTGGAATTCAGACAAGTGATTCTGTTAAGAGGTTCATCTGTACATGTTTATGCATCTGAAGTCTCCACTTGGTGTCACTTGACAAGTTCCCCTGTTAAATATTTCAGATACAGATAGTTTGCCATAATCATCTTAGTGTGATTTGGACATTTTGGATGAGTTCTAATATTTGACCGAGCTGTTTGACCTCAATGCTTCCAGGTTCCAACTGACCCAGAGGTGGCCAAGCATGCAGCCCTGTTTCACCACGTGTCTCTGGTAATGCTTCCCTGGCTGTTACCTGGCAGTGAATACCTGGCCCATGAACTCATGTCCACCATGGTCTTCAACAAAGACTTCATACCGTGAGTCTTTTAGTGATACTGTCTCCATTACTCAATAGGTCAGAGGTCGAAGACATTAGAATAGAAGTAGAAGTCTTCCCAGTGGCAATGAAGCTTATTTTATAATTGTTTCCTTTTTTCAAACAATATCATAGTTCATACAGACATGACAATCAAGTAAAGATGTTTTCTAATATTATTCATTTTGCCAAGTTCTGTTGAAAGTGAATGCTCTCACGAGCCTTGTCTATGGAATTATAAAGGTTCCTGGCCAAATGGTGGTCTCTCCTCACAACAGCATTACCAACCCAAAAGGAGTTCTCCTCCAATTAACTTTCATAAAACAGAACTTAAACTCTGGAATTCCTGTGTAGTGAAATATTTGATGTGTTGAGGTGCAGGGCCAGAAGATAAATTGTTGTTGAAAGAGGAGATGTACTTCAGCCAGGGTGGTTTGTGGTGCATTACCTTATCCCCAAATTTGATATGTTGGCACAACACAGAAAAAACCCTTTTTGATTCATTGCAAATGTATGTAGTTTATGGCAGTGGTGGCAATAGTATGGTTTATGTTTACACAGCATCTGGTCTGCTAAGCACACAATTGGTTCTTCTTTAAACAAATTCAGACATTCTGTTATTTTGATTTTACCATTCCATTGTCTGGATATAATTTGTTTTAGAAATAAATGTGAAGCAGGTTTTCAAAAGGTCATGGCATGGCTAAGGGCTTTGATCTCAAGTCACAAAGTACACTGGTTTTTCTCAGGATGGGACTTTTCTGCATTATGTATAGACCTGGGTTCAAGCAGTGTTTATTTTATTTCAGGTACTTTGAGTTTTAATCAAGTGCAGCTCAAGTAGATGATAGAAAATAAATATACCTACTATTGAACCCAGGTCTGCTATGGAGATGGGCTATTTAGAACATATGGCATCTCTTTTGTGTTTTGTCAATGTTGTTGAGTGAGTGGACTGCCTATAAATCGTTTCCAACAGGATATTAAACTATGTCATGCTAAGCCATCTCGCATTATATCCAGGTTGCACCAAATAGTAGCCTCCGGAGCGAACTCCTGACCTTTTCACTTTCAGTTAGATCACTGCTCTATAGCTGGTATTCCTCTGATGCCACTGCCAACCTGCCTCATTAGTCTTCTTGTGAAGGCCCTATTGTATGTGAACTCAGTGCTGTGTAGCTCAACTATTCCATTCTCCCTGTCTTCCAGAGAGGGTCAGAGTGGAGGGCCCGAGGCTGCAGAGATGTCTGAGATGCGGCTCCAGGAGCGCTCCTCCCCTTCCCTCCAGACCCTGGGTCCTCTGCTGAGGGAAGCCTGTGTCCAGCTGCCCTCTGTCCGGGGCTGCTACCTCTCCCACCTGGCCCACATGGAGCCCTCTGTCCTCTCCTCCAGGGACTTCCACCTGGGGCGAACGCCCTGGCTCAACACCCAGCTCCTCCCAGAACTCTCCGGACCATCCCTCCCCTCCGATTGGCCCTTCCTGCCACTCGTAAGCCTGTACGAGCGGGCGGGTGCACCGGACGGAGGGGGCCTGCAGGTGGAGTCGCTCCCTGCGGGGGCAGTGCAGTCGGTCACACACTGCCTGCAGTGGCTGCTGCTGCTGGAGGTCTGGAGGGAGGAGGCCCTCAGGGTGGTGCTGCCTGTAGCCAAGCTGGCCCGTCTGGCTTGTATCTTCCTGTGCTCCAGTGATCTCTTCATGGAGAGGCCTGTCCAGAGGCTGACCTGGGCTCTATTCAGGCTGCTCACCAGGCCCTCTCAGCTGGAGGCTCTGGACTTCAACTCCCCTCCTCCAGGCCTGCACTCCTTCAATGACCTCTATTCTGCCCTGGTGGGACAGTTTGAGGCGGTGTCATTCGGTGACCCCCTGTTTGGCTGCGTCATCCTCCTGCCTCTGCAGAGGCGCTTCAGTGCCACCATGAGGCTGACTCTGTTTGGGGAGCATGTGGGCCTGCTGCGTTCCCTGGGGGTAACACTGGAACAGGTGAGAGGGAGGCTGGTTAACACGCTGGATTGAATGTTGCGATTGAGAGTACAGGGTACATTATTGGGTAGACGGCCAGTAGATGGAGCTCTGGGGCTCTTGTCACTTTCTGCAACGTTGTGCCATTTGACAATGTGTCTAAAACATGTAACATAAAGATAGGCTAAATGAGCCCCTCTCTGTGTTTTTCCTAGCTGGCCATCCCTATGGAGAGGTTCACGTCACCCCCGGAGGACTCTCTCCCGCTGCTGCGCCTCTACTTCCGGGCGCTGGTGACGGGGACACTGAGGCAGTGCTGGTGTCCTGTGCTCTACGTGGTGGCTCTGTCCCACCTCAACACCTTCATCTTCTCCCAGGACGCAGCATCACAGGTACAGACACACATCACAGGCCCAGGGTGTGGATCAGTGTTGTTGAGCGACACGGATGACAACTGACTGGACTGGGTGGTATTGCAGTTCATAGAAAGGTCACACTGCTCTTTGGGGCTATGCAATTTCAGGGTGATTTGGAATGGATCTGTACTTTCAATAGGAACACTTTTATAGTCCCCCTTTGTCTTTCCTTCTCCAGCAGGTGGAAGCAGCCCGTCGCAGCCTCCTGAGGAAGACTCACTACCTGACTGATGAGGTACACACTCACTCACCTTCCCCCGGGGTCTTCCATCTCGCCACTGCTCCTGTCTCCTTCCCCACAGCCTTCTTATCCTCCTGCCACTCCTCCTCTCCCCTAATGGTCTCCCCTAACATCTGTCCTATCCTATCTAGGTGTTGAGGAGCCACCTGCTGCTGTTTAGGCTGCCCCAGAAAGACTCTGAGCTGGGCTTCAACACTTACGGCCAGCTGCCTCCCATCCGGCAACGCAGGCTGGAGAGTGTTCTGGGGACCCAGGAGGTGAGCGATAGCAAGAGGGAATGAGAACAGAGAGGAAGTGGGACAGATCATGGTTCTCATTTGGAGCTCCGTGGTCATGCCAAGGGTACCAGGTCCAAGAGGGCTTTACTGGAAACAGTGCGCAAGGATAAAGAGATGCTGTAAAGGTGCCTAGAATTGTCAATGTCAAAACTGCGACTGTATTTTGAATAAAGATGCTTTTGTATGTATATGTAACTTCAGCACTGCTGGAGTAGTTGATTTGTCTTTTATTACATTTAAGTCATTTAGCGGACGCTCTTATCCAGAGCGACTTACAGGAGCAATTAGGGTTAAGTGCTTTGGTCAATGGCACATTAGCAGATTTGTCACCTAGCCGGCTCGGGGATTCGAACCAGCGACCTTTCGATCACTGGCCCAATGCTCTCAGCCGCTAGGCTACCTGCTGCCTAGCTTTGGGACCCAACATCGGGGGTCTGTGTATTGGATTGACTCCCTGCGTTCTGGTGGGTCGTGACCGAGAATAACCCTACCACAATATAGCCAGCTACACCAAAAAAAAGTTCCTGTCAACGAAGGCATTTGTTTAATCTCTAGGAACTCTACTTACCAGACATAAAGTGAAATGTGACCCTCGCTATCAAATAAACGTCTCAATCCAACATTTGTGCGAACCACACCATATTCCTGTTGTGTAGACAGTGGTAGATTTTGTGGTAGGAAGTCTCGCATGAAGTGCTTGGTCTATTGGCAGACCACTGTTTAACTCAAGGAATATGGTGCTGTTCAGACAAAAGTTGGATTCCGACGTTTATTTGATAGCGAGGGACACATTTCACTTTACATCTAGTAAGTACAGTTCCTTGAGATTATACATATGCCTTTGTTGACAGGAATTTTTTTCTTGGTGAAGCCAGCTATATTGTGGGAGGGTTCTTTTCCGTCGCCAGCCACCAGAACTATGCACAACTCAGGGAGTCCAACCAATACACAGACTCCCGATGTTGTCCCAAAGCTACCTGCCGCCCTAATCTACATAGTCATTCAGCGTTTGACTAGCACTTATTTTCTGCCTATCTGTTCTACCTTCAACTGAATGACACAGTAATGGTTTTGGTCCGCTGCCATAGCAGAGCATGCAATGTTCCACGTGGTCTTTTGCTAATCAAAACGAGGTACATATGTCTATAAGTCACTGCAAATGAGTTGTTTAGAAGAGAATTATGCTGGCTCCAGTTTTACTTCAATATTATATAAGCCAGAAAAACACTGAAACACTCTTATCAAATGTTACTACTAAGTTCCAATTCAAATAATCCTTACTGTGTGAAAACCCACTGACTTTTACCAGTGTGGCCCCTGTTACTTTTCCATGGAAGCTACTTAACTAGCGCCTGTGTAAAATCTAATTTGGAAAATGCCCACAAGCAATGTCAAACAAAGGGATGTTTGTCTCTTCCCTGTTGTGCTTGTTTAGACTAAAGTTGGATTTCAAAACTAGCACTTGCCTGATCCATAAGATAGTGCATTAGGAAAGTATTCAGACCCCTTGACTCTTTCCACATTTTGTTACGTTACAGCCGTATTCTAAAATGGATTAAAAAAAAAAATAATCCCTCAATCTACACACAATACCCCATAATGACAAAGCAAAAACAGGTTTAGACATTTTTGCAGATTTATTACAAATAAAAAATGGAAATATCACAGTATTCAGTCCCTTTTAATCAGTACTTTGTTGAAGTACCTTTGGCAGGGATTACAGCCTCAAGTCTTTTGGGGTATGACGCTGAAAGCTTGCACACCTGCATTTGGGGAGTTTCTCCCATTCTTCTCTGCAGATCCTCTCAAGCTCTGTCAGGTTGGATGGGGAGTGTCGCTGCACAGCTATTTTCAGGTCTCTCCAGAGATGTTCGATCGGGTTCAAGTCCAGGCTCTGGCTGGACCACTCAAGGACATTCAGAGACTTGTCCCGAAGCCACTAATGCATTTTCTTGGCTGTGTGCTTAGGGTCGTTTTCCTGTTGGAAGGTGAACCTTTGCCCCAGTCTGAGGTCCTTAGCGCTCTGGAGCAGGTTTTCTTCAAGGATCTCTCTGCACTTTGCTCCGTTCATCTTTCCCTCGATCTTGACTAGTCTCCCAGTCCCTGCCGCTGAAAAACATTCCCACAGCATGATGTTTCTTCCAGATGGGACTCTTGGCATTCAGGCCAAAGATTTCAATCTTGGTTTCATCAGACCAGATAATCTAGTTTCTCATGGTCAGAGTCCTTTAGGTGCCTTTTGGCAAACTCCAAGCGTCTTGCCTTTTACTGAGGAGTTGCTTCCGTCTGGCCACTCTACCATAAAGGCCTGATTGATGGAGTGCTGCAGAGATGGTTATCCTTCTGGAAGGTTCTCCCATCTCCACAGAGGAACTCTGGAGCTCTGTCAGAGTGACCATCGGGTTCTTGGTCACTCCCTGACCAAGGCCCTTCTCCCCCGATTGCTTAGTTTGGCCGGGCGGCCAGCTCTAGGAAGAGTCTTGGTGGTTCCAAACTTCTTCCATTTAAGAATGATGGAGGCCACTGTGTTCTTGGGGACCTTCAATGCTGCAGACATTTTTTGGTACCCTTCCCCAGATCTGTGCCTCGACACAATCCTGTCTCGGAGCTCTACGGACAATTCCTTTGACCTCATGGCTTGGTTTTTGCTCTGACGTGCACTGTCAACTGTGGGACCTTATATTGACAGGTGTGTGCCTTACCAAATCATGTCCAATCAATTGAATTTACCACAGGTGGATTCCAATTAAGTTGTAGAAACATCTCAAGGATGATCAATGAAAACAGGATGCACCTGAGCTCAATTTCGAGTCTCGTAGCAAAGGGTCTGAACACTTATGTAAATAAGGTATTTCAGTTTTTTATTTTTAATACATTTGCTAAAATTTCTAAAATGTTTTCGCTTTGGCATTATGGGGTATTGTGTGTAGATTGATGAGGGAAACAATTATTTAATCCATTTTAGAATAAGGCTGTAACGTAACAAAATATGGAAAAAGGGAAGTGGTCTGAATACTTTCCAAAGCACTGTATGAGGTGGTTTTCCTTCTGTCCTTTTTCTTATTTGTCTACACGTCTCACCCCTCATCCTTCCTACCATATGTTCCCAATAGAGTTCCATTCATCTTTGTAGTACACCACTCAATAAACCGTCTATGAGAATCTGTGTTTCTTTTCCAGTATATTCTCTTTCCATTATTCACACAGTCTGATTTGGCCTTGATTGTTTGCAGTGCAGGTTTTCACACTCAACATGTACATAGCTAATGTCAGACTGGTGCCTTGGTGGATCACATCCAATTCTCTCTCTCTGTCTCTGTGTCTCTCTTTCTCCTGTCTCTCTCTTTCTCCTGTCTCTGTTTCCCTCCTGTCTCTGTTTCTCTCTCTCTCTCTCTCTCTCTCTCTGTCTCTCTCTCTCTCTCTCTCTCTCTCTCTCTCTCTCTCTCTCTCTCTCTCTCTCTCTGTGTTTGTAAGGAACTTTGCACTGGGCACACATTGGTTGAATCAACGTTGTTTCCACGTCATTTCAATGAAATTTGATTAGTTGATGTGATTTAAATAATTTGTCTCTGGGGAAATCAAAGTTGTAATGTATTGGCCACAAAACACCTTCAAAATAAGTCCAGATTGAATATCACAAGTTATGTTCTCAAAGGCACTATGATTTAAGTATCAACAAGATTGTTACTCTTTCTGGACACCATTAGACTGGTCACCATCATGGATTAAATTATTTATCTCTCTAAGGCTAAAGGCTAAATTAACTTTTCTCTCTTAAACACCCTTTTTCTCTCCTTCCTGCTGCTCTTGATAAAGAGTCTGACAGAGTTCCTGTTGGGACAGATTACAGACAGTTCTCTAGACACAGAGTTTGAGCACACTGCTGTTGTAACATTCCTCCAGAAATTATTTATCCCCTGTGTTTCTTCCAGGAACTTGAATATGGTCCATTAACCTAAGTCTCCAGCACTTGGTAACAGTTCATCCCAGAAGGGTACTTAGATGTTAAGCAAGTCTGTCAAGAATTTCTACTGAAATCAGAAAGGGATGGTGTTAGGCCTATATCTACAGGCAGCATTTTCCAAACCTCTACACACCTTGCAATCTCAGGTATTTTATGTTTGACCTTTATTTAACTAGGCAAGTCAGTTAAGAACAAATTCTTATTTACAATGACAGGCTACACCGGCCAAACCCAGACGACGCTGGGCCAATTGTGCGCCGCCCTATGGGACTCCCAATCACAGCCGGTTGTGATACAGCCTGGAATTGAACCAGGGGGTCTGTAGTGACGCCTCAAGCACTGAGATGCAGTGCCTTAGACCACTGCGCCACTCGGGAGCCCTCGGGAGGTAGAGTACTCTTAAATGCTCAGCAACTTATGATTTTGTGCAGCAGTTGCTATAGAGTAGAAACACATTCTTAAGAGTTGCTGTGGTTTCTGTAGGAAAAGGGGCCATACTTCCAATGAATGAAAAGGTCTCCATGCAAATTACAAACATGCATTCTCCCATTACTGCCAGTGCCAAGAGCACTGGGAACTTATTAAAGGCCCAGTGCTGTCAAAAATGTGATTTTCCTGTGTTTTATATATATTTCCACACTGAGGTTGGAATAATACTGTGAAATTGTGAAAATTATGATAAAGCCCTTTAAGTGTAAGAGCTGTTTGAAAAAACCTTCTGAAATGTCAGCCTATTTTGGTGGGATGGAGTTTTTAGCCTGGGTAAAATTGTTAATATAGCAATAAGAAAGAGTTCCAAACCTCTCAGCCAATAGCAGGTCGTTTTCAGTTTCCCCCTCCCCACTCAGATCACTACTCCTAGACAGTCCTAGCAAAATTCTTGCTTGAGAAATTGCTCTTAGCTAAGAAGCTATTTTTGTTTATTTTTTACCCTTTTAATTGAAAACAATCACAGTAAGGTACTTTATTGTTACCCAGAAATGATTTGATATTGAGATAAAAATGGCTGCATTGGACTTTTAACAATAACAAGAGACGTAACAGTTATAAACAGTATACTGATTATTTACGTGGAGTTGTGCATCCGCCATTACTCAGCTGCAAACTTCCATGTAAAAATGTCCTTGGTACTCCTTGTGACAGTCCTCCTGCAGAAGAATCCTAGGATAAATTTTGTGTTTGTCAAACAACCTCATATTCAACTCAGTGGACCTTTTCAAAGATGTCAAAACAGCCATACAGTAATAATGCCTCTCTTTGTGT